GGAAAGCCTGCATCAAATAATTTATCTCACTTATTTGAAACGAAGACTGTAAGCTCTCTAATTCTCCAAACTGATTATTCTGGAATTGAGAATTTCCTCCTTTGTGCAAATTTATTTACAATTTCCTCCTCCATTGATAGGTAGTTGAAAGAGTAATGGTAATGCAGGAAAAAAAAGTACAGACAGTTGCTGTATGAACAGCAACCAGAAAAATTACAAAATTGTACTTACAGCTGCTGGAAAGTACAAAAAGTGTTTAATTGGTAGAATTGGAAAGCAAATAGTGCACAGTCAAGATTTGAGATTTTTGACAGCAGAAAATGCCCAGCCAAATTTTCTCCATAATTGTTTGTGGAAGCGCAAGTAGAATCCCCTAGATCAGAAGCTCTTATGCCATGTGAAAAATAAGAATAATATTGTTCTCAATGTGCTTGAGTTATTTAGCAGTCATCAATAGGTTTAGTTTATAAACATAGTAATTACCATGGTAATAAATAAACATGGTGACTGGTCAGTCCACCAATCAACTCTGGATTGTGTAATACTAATATGTCTTACTGTAAAATCTGAATATTATATATTTCGGTATGAATAATATACAAGCACTATTTTTTTTTTATATAAAATATTGTAACCTAATCAGCTTGACTAACGATTTAAATACAAAATACTACTAATCATAGTAAAAATATATAAAAAGTACATTATTCACAACTCTTATCATTAGCAATTTGCCACAAAACTTGAGTTCCCATTGGTTAAGTTTGGATCGGGAGACATTGTATAACACTAGTATTGGTGTGTTTTTCCGTATATATTTTATCAATAGATATTATTGAAGAGCTTCTGTGCAATCATATTTAGTATATTATTCTTCTACTTGTCTGCAGCATCTAAGGTACATCCTCTGCACCTAAAGTACTTCAGCTTCTCTGGACGTATGATTGGATTAGCTTTGAAGAGTAAGGTGCATGTGGGTATTGTTTTTGATCGTGTGTTTTTCAAGCAATTGGCTGGAAACTCTATTACTTTAGAAGATATTCGGGATGCAGATCCTATAATGTATCATAGCTGCAAGCAAATATTGGAGATGAATGCTGATTATATTGATACAGATGTTTTAGGACTGTCATTTTCTATAGAGGTGGAGGAATTAGGACACAGGAGGGTGATAGAGCTTTGCCCTGGCGGAGAAAGCATTGTTGTGGATAGTAACAATAGGGGTATGTATGTTGATCTTCTTATACAGAATCGTTTTGTGACACCCATATCTGAGCAGGTATCACATTTTGCCGCGGGGTTTGCTGATGTTATATCTGGCAAAAGGCTAGAATTCTTTCGATATTTAGACCTTGAAGATCTTGATTGGATGCTGCATGGTAGTGAAAATGCCCTTTCTGTTGAAGATTGGAAGGCACATACCAAGTACAATGGCTATAAAGAGATCGATCGACAAATATCTTGGTTTTGGGAGGTATGTAGGGCTGATCTTATGGAATCACAAATACCTTTACCTTTCTTTATCTTCACTTCTTTTTTATTTTATTTTCCCCATTTCCTTCATTTTTCAAACTCCTTGGCGAGTGTAAATTTATTATAATTATTTTCATATTGAAGAACAAAATAAATCAATTTCCCCCTATATGAATATTTTATAGGCAGACTTTATTAGGCAACATGTATCTGCTCCATGATGCTCTCGAAGACTTTCCCTGTTTCCCTCTCCTCTAATCTTGATTACTTGTTAAGTTTCCCCATTTCCATGACCTAATTGTGTCTATTTAAAAATAATAATCAAAGAGGTGCAGAGGCATCACTTTGCAGCGCCTAAAAGGAACATATTGTCAAAAACAAAGGTAGATGGACTACAAAATCCAATGAAATAGATAACACAGTGCCTCATCAAAAACCTTATCAAGAAAACGTGGTGGGATAAAACACGACGAAGAAAAAGAGTGTTGTGCACACATAATAAAAACTCTAATAAAATCTGAAGTTTGGAAGACCACATCTATTTCTAGTAAAATCATCCCTAATACAAGTAGGTTAAGAACTCCACCAAACAAAACTTTACTACTGAAGCCTGCATTAGCAAGACTATCAACACAAGCAATCTTTTCTCTGAAGACATGAGATGAGACACTTTGAAACGAAAACTCTGATTAAGTTGAGACAGTTCGACCAACGATTTTGAAACGTTTAAGGCACAACTTTAAGATTAGAAAAAACTTGAAACCCCATCATAGATAGGGCTGTTCATGGTACAGTTCACTTGAGAAAACTGATCCGAATCAAACCATAGTAAAAGTTCACTCGAACCGAACTGAACCGTTTCAGTTTACTCAAAACCAAACCGAACTGAAATTATTGGTTTGGTATACCGTTTCTAAATTCCGAACCGTTAGAAGACAGTTTTTTCCAAACCGAACCAAATTATTAAAGAACCAAAGAACCGAACCGTTATACTATTTTAAAAAAATTTTTTAAAATTTTTTTTAAAACTTGTTTTTAGTATTTTTTATTATTTTTCAGTTTTGGTTCTGTTCGGTTTCAGTTTCGGATCGGTTTATTTGTCATATGATTCAGTTCTAGAACTGTTTGTACAATATTGTTCGGTTCACTAACCAATCATAACGGTTCGGTTATTTTAACTTCGTTTGGTACGGTTCGGCTGTTCGGTTTGGTTCATAGTTTTTTTTGAACAGTCCTAATCATAGAATCACATTCAAGCCATAAATTACACCAATCCTTAACATGAGCCATTTCTCCCGCTAACAAGGCAACAGTCAATTCCAGCATTTATTGGACTAGCGATACATTGAGAAGAAAAACCTAGAAAAGAACCCTTGTAATCTCTGAAGATTCCAGGACAAGTAGATATGTAAGAGTCTCTAGAAGTATCACCAGTGTTACGCTTAACCACTTTTGAAATCTACTTCTCTCCTTACCTGGTTACCAGTCATGCTTGAGTTCTAATCTGTGCTCATTTAAATTATTCCTTTTTTCTAACCCTGTTCAACTTTTGATTTGCTACATTTTGTATAAATGTCTCCCTTCAATTCTTGTATGCCTCCAAATAGTAACATGTTTTTTACTGCTGCATGAAATCATGATTTTGATACTTGGTTTTATCATACAACCAAGTCTTTTTCAAATGAGTGTGGCTGGATAGATGGATCAAATACACTAATACCTGCCATAGTGCAGCCATATTTAACTTTGCAGAATCTTGTTCATATCAATGTTATAACATGCAATTTATGTTATAGTTTTTCATGACTTCAACTTATGTTCACATGCAATAAATCTGCACAGTAAGTTCTCATGACTTTTTTATATCATTATTACTAAAAAAAATAGTTTAAGTTATTATTTAACTAAAAGCAAGCTACTCAGTGTTTAATGTTTTAATATTATATTCTATCAAAAAATAACTTGGCAGATTGTTGGGAGAATGTCGGCGGAGCAAAAGAAGGTTCTTCTGTTCTTTTGGACATCTGTGAAATATTTACCAGTTGAAGGTTTCCGTGGTTTGGCTTCCCGTCTATTCATCTGCAAATTGAACGAGCCTGAAAATCACTTGCCCACATCTCACACATGTTTTTACGAGCTGTGCTTTCCCCCGTATTCTTCTATAACTATCATGCAAGATCGCCTTGGAATCATCACCCAAGAACACATCAGCTGCAGTTTCGGTACTCCGTAATGGTGAATAGATAAGTGGTTTTGAATATTTTGATTTCACTTAGAAATACCATTACTCACCTTTGTACAAATTTAGGATAGGATTATTCCTTTTTCCCCCTCTTGAAATGATAGTCTAGAAGGCTTTTTGTTCTGCTTCTCAAATCAATTATGGGTGGCATTGTCCTTGATCTTCTGTGCAGTGTTTATATGAGGGGGGTCAAGAGTCAAGAAAACAGGATTGAAGGAAATAAGTTTTGGTGTTTGGTTATGTTAGTATATAGCTATGGGTTAGCCATGCTATGACATTTAAGTTAGTATAGTCATGCTCCAAGAGCAACTTTTGCCATTATTAAGAATTAACATTTCTTTAAGTCCTACAATTAATTTATCATTCTTTTTAGTTCGGGTGACTGCATCCTCGTTCTATTTCTATTCGAATAATTTATCTTTTATTTAATATCATAATCTTCATGAAATATATATATATATATATATATATATATATATATATATATATATATATATATATATATATATATATATATATATATATATAATGTGAAGGAAGCAATGCAATTCCTTTTCACTCTGAAGATTTATGGAGTGATATTAACATACGACAGGCTCACTCTTTTAAATCTGAAGTATGTCTGGTGAGTTATTTTGTTAGCATATCTCTCTTCTGTTCAAGCTTCAATTGTTTTGAATCTTGAGGTTGCAATGGAGAAAATCAATGTTATATCGAATTTTTAACTTATAAATATATTTCTATTTAAAAAATGTTACACTACTTACACTTACTAGTGTATTGCTAATACTAACCCATTTTTCACCTTCCGTTCCAACTCTAACAATTTTTAGAACCTCAGCAGTATGGAGAACAAATTTTTAGGAAGATTTTGTTAAGAAACATAAGATGATAAATTGTTGGGACAAAGACAAGAATATAAAATAAATATTATTTATTCAAATCTAGAGAGGAACACAGTAACACACCATGACAAACCTTCTTAAGAACTATAGCCCCATTATCACTTCAATACACAACTCATGGAAAAGTTTCACATGTCCACCACTCAGCATGTATATATATGCTGATGTGGAGCCAAGTGCCATATAAATAACCATATCCAAAAGCCTTACCATAATAACAATAATAAACTTTAATAAAGGAAAGGAAACTAAAGAAATAATTAATAGAAAAGCTTTTCAACCTTGATGACATGCAAAATGGTAGACCCGATCCCAACAACTAGAACCATTAATTTAAACTTCCTTTTTTTACCAGTTCCATTCACACCCCTTCCATTGGTTTAAGCTTCAGGATTCTCAGCTGGAACTTCCTCTGCTGCTGGAGCTTCCACTGATTCAACTGTTTTGTTCTCAATCACATCCTCTGCAGTTGCTGGTGGTGGTGCTGCTGGCTCATTTTCAATAGTCGCTTTTGGCTCCTCCACTACTGCTTCCGCCTCTTCCTTCACTTCTTCAACCGATTCCTTAGTTTCTTTAGGTGCTTCCAAGTTCTCTTCCTTTGCTTCCTCTGTTACCACTTCCTTGTTCTCAACTTCAAGTGGATCTTGGGTTTCTGGAGCATCTACAGCTTCTTCTGCTGCAGTTGTTTCTGTTGGTTTTTCGGTTGTTTCTTCTGTTGGTACTACGGTGGCAGGAACTTCGGATTCTGGTTGTCCCACAGCAGGAACTTCAGTGGCTGGTTGTTGTTCTGGAATTGTTTCCTCTGTCTTGATTATCTCTGGTGTTGTTTCATTTTCTTGCACTGTTGTTGGTGGTGCTTGGTGTGCAACCTGCAGTTAAATACCATCTTCATTTAGCAAAATCTTGTAGTCTAGTTAGTATACACAAATGAAACATCAAATAAAAAAAAACTATATATTATCTAATGTGTTACAAAAATAGTGTTAATTAGTATGACATTATAGAACTTTAAAAGTAAAGTACTAATAACAAAAATACACCTAAACTTTAAAGAAGTGGAAGAGTTAATCTGTTTTGCTGATCTGAAACGCAATACAAAATAGACTACTTAATTACAGAAAAAACTTAAGATTTTGTACAAATAGAAGACTTGAGTAATAAATTGTTAAAGATCTTTAGTATTTATATAGTATATGTTTGATCTATGATATTGCGTTGTATGCAACTGCGATCTATTATTGATCAATTAACTTAATTTGTGATGAAATATATGTGCAGTGATTGCAAGAGTAAATAGTTGTAGTAGTATTTTAGTAAGCTTCGATTTTCATTGCGTGATTCAAGAACTAAATGACACGTGGACTAGTGAAAAAATATATACACATTAAAATTATAGATGTCACAAAGTAGCTATGTATTGAGTTATTTTACCTCAACACTGGCCATTTGGAAAGGTGAGAGGGATTGAAAAAAAAGCTGAAGGGTGTGTGAATGAAGAGTGAAGGAAAAGAGAAATTAAGAGTGGTAGTGAGTGAGATGAGGAAGTGATCAACGTTAGGGTGGTATATATAGTTGCATAAAGTGATGAATAGTAATAGTAGAAATGTACATGTGTAGTGTGGTGTGTGTGAGTGATCACCTGTAAGAATCTTTTTCAACCGGATTGATCATGCCACTGACATCAATTAAAAGACATCAATATGTCTAGTTGTCAATGTTTTTTTCCTTTTGTTTATTTATCCCGACAAATAAAAAATGCTTTTAATTATTTTTGATGCATGAATATATTGAAATGAAGTCTTTATTAAAAAAAAGGTATTTCTCTGTATATATAATTTGGTAGTATGTAATTGAAAATATAATTGGTCATTCAACACCATTGCTATAATTTAGATGAATTTAATTGATATGCCTCACCAGTATAAAAACAATAAATTATTAAATTTTTATTAATATCTAAGTTTTATCCATGATTAAATTTTTGTCAATATTCAAGTTTTATTTTAATAATTGATAAAATAATATTTATAAATGATTCTGATAAACTCGTGTAAAAAAATTTATACTAATAAACGCTTATTCTAATGCAAACAATTTAACTTTATTTGTGACATTATAAATATTTGTATGTGTGGTATCTTTCAAAATTCATCTTCATTTCTCAAATAAATAGCAAAACTATTTAGTATTAGAGGTTAAAGGTTTGAATCCTTACAAATGAAAAAATATATATTAAAAGTTAACAATTATTTATTAACTTTGATACATCATTTGTTTTCATAACTTATAAACCATCATATTAATTTTTTGTGCAATTATCTTTTAAGTATAAAAATTATAGAAAAGAAAACTTTGATATATATTTTGCTTGATAAATAATTTTAGATTCTTTTTATTCTATATTTTTCATATTATATTGGGCAAATACCATGCCGGACAAATAAATTAAAGACAAACAAGTTTTGATTCTCACATATAGAATTTATAGTTTGCTCAATTTCTTTTAAATAATGATTATCGTGAGTATAATAAAAAATAAATATAGTAATTTTTAGAAAACTTCATATTTCAACTCATTAACAATAAAATCACATAAATATATATATTGATTATTAGTCTTATGTATTTTTTTATTAGATGGTTTATCGCGATTTAAGAATTGTTATCAATTCGTAGTTTAATTTGTATTGAAAAATTATTTTGTGAATTAAGTGTACTCAATTTATTTCAATATTATATAATAAGTTATAAGTTTTTTTATCACTCTAAAATAAAAATTTGTTTAATTATTTATGCATATATTATTACCAAAAAAATTTTATAAATTTTTTATTTTTTAAATATTATATAATTTATATAAAATTATAAAATAAAATATAAATTATTAATAAATTTTTTAAGTGAACTAAACATATTTTTAATTAGATTTTTTTTTCTTTCCTCCTCTTTTGAACTAAATATATATATATATATATATATATATATATATATATATATATATATATATATATATATATATATATATATATATATATATATATATATATATATATATATATATATATATATATATATATATATATATATATATATATAATTAATAAAATTCTCCCACCTCCTCTCTCATTCCATTCCTTTCATCTCTCTCTCATCTCTCTCTCTCATTAGAACAAAACCTAAAAAATATAATGTATTGACAAGCTGACATATCATTATTTTAATAATATTACATCATTCAATGTGTTTGCAAAAAAGAAAAATTAAGATTTTTAACTTAATTAATCTTTTAATCCTTTAACTTAATTTATTATTTCACTTTGTTCTTTAATTAAAAAACATTATAATATAGTTTTTTAAAACAATGTCGCGTACGTGGCACTACAGTTGTCTTTTTAAAATTTAACATTGTTTTTGTTTGCTATTTTTTAATTTTATTAATTCACTTATTTTCATTTTTAATATATTTTACATTTTAATATACTTCATATTCTCTACACTTATTTTCATTATTTGAAATAAATTTTAATGACTATCTAATGAAGCAGCCAACTTCTTTCTCATTTTTTCTTCTTCTCACCTCAACATAGTACAACAGATCTACAATTATTTTTATTTTTCCTTTTTAGAAAAACAAAACAATGGCTTGAAATGAAATGTGAAATGATGTAAGTATTGTACTTGGAGCGACGAAGAAGACGAAGACGGATTGATAGGTGTTGAGGGCGGCCGAAAAATGCACGGTGGGGGTGGATCTCTATTTTCGACATCGGTACAGTTTCGTGTGACAAAGAAGGTGTTGAAAGTGATTACCGAATCTGGAAAAAAAATCTCCTCTTCTTTTTTGCTACGTTTCGTTTTAGATTTGTGATGTTGTCGTTTCTTGAATTGTGATTTGGTGTGGTGGTAGTGAAACTTGGAGGCTGTATGCTATTTGTCTGAAATGTTGCTTTTTGTTGTCTGTTGCTGATTTATTATTGTGTTTGCTGTTGTTGTGTATGGATTTCAAGAAATGAAAGATTGATTTTGGTAGGAGGGATTTGAGAACGGTGGTGGCGTAAGTGTGGAAAGGGATTTTGCTTCTTTTTTTTTTTTTTTTTTTTATAATTTTTCTTTTGCTTCTTTCAAAACGCGTGAAAGCAAGATGGATTTGAGTTAATTATGAAAGTTTATGAAGAATATTGATAAATTCTCGATTTATTAGGGATTTATTGTGGTTCTTGATTTGTGGAAGACAATAGATGATTTTGATGGATGAATCGAAGAAAATCTGATAACGTGACCCAATCAAATTTCATAAAAAAATAATTATGGATTGGAGATGATGATAAATTGATTAGTAATGGTAAAATTTAATTATGGAAGATATTTTGAGGGAGAAATAATGAAAAATCTCATCATTTATGTTAAAGATGATTATAATAAAGAAAGAATGAAAAATCTCATGATTTTGCTGAGCTGTCATGTTAGGCTGGCAATGATTAACATTTTTTTAAAGAAAAAAAATCATAGAATGGATCAATAATGCTAACTAAAGTTAATTTTAAGGACCAAAATGTAACATTTTTTAGTTAATAGGTGTCATACCCCAAATTTTATCCCTTAGATGTCATCATCATTTGCATAAGCATTATAGATCAATCATACTTACATAGCTAACCATTTACCAAACATTTTTTTTCTTGTTTCACTTATGAATCAGGATCGATTTCAGAGGCTCAATATATTAGTCAATAAAGATTTTGGATAGGTCCTCAACTAGTCAAATTCTCTTACTCTCAAGGGACCCCCCTTCTCTCTAGTGGGAGCAAATGGATTGATAAGATGTATTTTGTCTCTCTTTAAAACAACAAAAAGGCCTAAGGAATTAAGGTGTGAGTTGCTGCCAGATTTCAGAATCAGAGAATCAAACATTGGAAGGAACCATGAACTTTAAGGAATTTTCCCTCACGCTTAGGTCAAAACCTTGCTTGATCCAGATGAAGTTGTTGAGTAAGTGGAATATAGTGCTTGATCTATTCAGTTGATAGCGATTCAAAAGACATGAGGTCTTTAGACTTAAGTTAAAAGTTAAACTCCCGTTGGCAAGTTCATGGGGATTCAAAGGTGAATCCAAGAGCAAGAGTGTTGTGTTTTAAATCTCCAAGGTTTAAAAATCAAGATTATATTCAAGTGCAAGTTTTGATTTATGCATGACGTGAGAAGATTTGATTTTTAAATGAGGCCTAATATAAAGGAATACAATATTGGATCAAGTCACTAGTCCCATTCAAAGTTCAATTCTTCAAGTTCAAGTTTAATTTTTTTCATTTCAAGATTCCATTCAATGCCAAGGATCAGATCATAATGTCCTTACTTGTCTCTATATCAACTTCACCCATATTAGCCATTCAAGTCCAATTTTGCATTGTAATTTGTATTCTTCGAATTGTTCATTATCTTTCAACTCCTATAAAGTCAAGTGGCATCATCTCTCTTAAGGGAAAGCATGGTTCATGTTTAACTTTGGGACATCATTTATATTAAACAGAAAAGTTTGTTGATTTCAAATGGTCAAGATTACAAGTTTGGTTTTGGTGCTAATTCAAAGGAAATTACAATTGCTCGACATGTTACAAATTCATGAATTTTGTTTTTGGATTTAAAAGATAAGAATGTGAGTTTACTTCATGATCTTTATCATCACCTTCACGCCTCATGTCTTCATCATCATGTTTGAATTTTCACTTCCACGCCATGCCACAACCCTGTCTCTCACGCATCACCTCCAATCACCTTCTTCATGCTTTTCCTTGTCAATCTACATTACAAACCATAAACATAAATTAAATTCCATCCAACCATTTATAATCCAAATTCAAACCAATTTCCTTCAAAACCATCATAAACCAATTTTCAAGCATTCGAGTCCAAACTTAGTTCAAAGAATTTCAAAAATCATCCAACTATGCCAAAACATAATCATAAACAAAACACATCCAAGTCATGTAAAATTCAAACCAAATCTCAATTCAACTGTCAAAATCCAATTCAAAACTTTGCCATCAAACACCAAATTCAACTTCATTCATAAACCATTCCAAAACTAAATCCAATTTCAAGTTCAGTTTAATCAATCCTAAACCAAAATTTAGGAGAAAAGTTTCTCAAGAGCACACCACATATTCATGTCACATGTTCATACCATCACATTTTATGTAACATTTTTATATATAGCAAAATCCAATTCAGAACAATGAAGACAGTCTAGGACAGAAAGTGCAGCAGAACTTTAAAGCAAATAAACAATTCAGTACAACAAATGCATCATAGTTTTAGAGTGAAAGGGACATTACAGGCAACATCATATTTGCTCAGAATTTATGAAAGAGGAAAAATTCAGAACAACAGGATTAGTGGTACACAAACCCTAACACAAATTGGAAAAAAGACAAGGGATTGCAATAACC